TTTTGAATACAGAGTTAATCCAGGTTAATCCGTATTTATTTATTTATTTCTACATATATTTTATCATATTTTAATATCTCCTCCAATAATGAATCGCCAACCTCACAAATTATATGTGAAGACGCACTGTAATGAAAAAGAACAAACGGATAAACCATTTATAGAAAAAAATTTTTCACAAACAAGTATAAATGAAATACTTACAGTTGAACATATGAATCCATGTCTTCCAATGCAGTAACGTCACATAAACCGCTTTAAACCTTATCCCCCTCCCCTTCCCCAATTTATTCATCATTATCAGAAGAATCACAGGGAGAATCTTCAGACCCAAAATTCGGTGGATAATAGACATGCAAGTCGATAATATACATACCTCTCCGCCAAGATACAAAGTCAACTGTAACACACGTGCCTAGAGTACACGTATGAATTTCAGATCTTATTTCCATTTTACTAAACGGTTTTTACTGAAACATAACCCTGATGCTCTATTTGGTATTTTGAACACCAAGTATTAGCGTGTTAACACATTGTGGAAACTAAATTCCCAATTACAAATTAAATGCGGGAGCGGTAAACAATTACGGTTAACCATTTTACACAGACTGATTTTCTACAAAAAAATCTTCGCGGATATTTATAGGACCATTTCCGGTCAATGACACAAAAAAATGCAAACGTTAGATTTAATTACAATTAATAACAAAAGATTTTTAGAGGCATCCAGTGATGACATCAATGCAATCTGACACCACAAATTGCAAATTTACAAGTTCCAATATGACCTTGTCAGCGTAATATAAGAAATTTTTTTCAAGGACATTTAATATGTTTTGGCGATGACATCATCAATGTAATTTGATATAACACCTGCATAAAATGCAACATTTGCAACTTCATCAAAGTATAGCTGCTTTGTTAGCGTAATTTACGATTTCTCAAGAATGATAATCTTTAATATAATTTGATACAAATGCGACGTTGCCAAATCAGTTAATATATAACTGCGTTGTCTGCTTGTCGTAATATAAGAAATTTTTTCAAAGACATTAACATGTTTTGACGATGACATCAATGTAATTTGATGCAACACTTGCAAAAATGTGACATTTGCAATTTCATCAAAGTATAACTATTTTGTTAGCGTAATTTAAGATTTTTTCAAGAGAGATGTCTCGATGATATCATTAATAAAAACAGCGCACATAATGATATAAAAATAACAAGATTTAAGTCAAATAATGTCATTAGTCAATTCGACAGCGCAACATAGAGCGTAATTTGATTGAGCAAGCTATCTTGTTTAGTAGAGACGAGTACAGGGCATGAGAACAGCGATGCGACGAATTTGTAGAATCATTGGAGGAGCAGAGTCGAGGGCAAACGCCCGCGATTATCAATCAGTAATAGATAATCACTGATCGCATGTATCACGCCGTTCGAGAGTTTAAAGGAACCTGAGCATGGAAGATTCGTGAATGTGGGCGCCGGATATGGATTCCGTTGGCGCGTCATCGAAATGGCGTTCGAAAGCCGTATTCTGATGGGCGCGGTGATAAACTCTAAACATATCGAACCTCGCCGATTTCTCGAAGACGCGTAATAATAATAATAATAATAATAATAATAATAATAAAAAATACGCAGTTTTTTTCAGATGCCTCCACTACTTTAGATCGAGCGCTAAATTAGAGATTCACAGCGAGGACTGTAAAAAACTAAACGATTGCGCAATTAGACTATCGAGCGAGGACGATAAATGACTGAGTTTCGACAACTGCAGGAAGGAACGCGTTCCATTCGTCGTTTACGCCGAACTGGAGAGTGCATTGGAAAAGACGAATGAGAATCCTGAATCAGCTACGTACACGTATCATCATCACAGCATGTTTAGCATCGGATACTATGTGCACTGTTCATACGACAGCTTACTATCGGGCTATCGTTTTTGCTGTGATAAGGATAGCGTGGTTCACGGAAGAACTCAAAAATTTGGCGCACAGTGTACAGTCTATAATTTCGGCTAACGTACCCATGGAGGATTTCATGCGAGACGATTGGCAAAAATATAACAACGCCACGCATTGCCACGTATGCGAGAAACCGTTTGCACCAGACGATACGCGGGTACGCGATCACTACTACTTAACCAGGCGATATAGAGTCCTCGTGCACTCAAATTGTAATCTAAATTATAGGGATTCGTATTGCGTAGTTTTCCATAACTTATCAGGCTACGACGCGCATTTCAGCATCAAGGAAATTATCATGTGTACGAAGGACGTGTTGATCTTTTATCGATAACAAAAGAAAAATATATTTCGTTTACTAAACATGTCGATAGTATCAAAATTGACAAAAAAAATTATGTAAAATTATGGTTTATAGATTCATTCAGATTTCTCGCTTTTAGTTTTGGACAAATTGGTATCTTTTCTCAGTAAAAATAAGCTATGAATATTGCAACACAAATTTTCCAATTTATCAGAAGAAAATTTTAATCTTTTGACACGAAAGAGCGTTTTTCCGTATGAGTACATTGACTATGTCGAAAAGTTGGAGGAGCCATGTTTACCGCCTCGCGAGTCGTTTTACGATTCATTGATGACACGGAGAACGCTTACGCGCATGCCGTCAACGTGTGACAGCGATTCCGGACACTCGGTGAATATAGTGATATCTGAAAACGGATGTATTGTTGTTGGTCGATGTCTTTGAAAATTTCCGTGACAGTTGCGTCGCGAGTTATCGGCTACCCCGCGTATTACATCTTACCGGGCTTCACGTGGACGCCATGTTAAAGCATACGGGTGTAAGATTTGAACTGCTTATAGACATTGACATGACCATATTTATCGAGCGCGGTATACGCGGTGGTCTGAGTCAGTATTCGAACAGGTACGCGTGAGCCAACAACAAATACATGTCGAACGATCTATTGAAACCGTCATCGTACTTGATGTAATATGATGTCAACAATCTGTACGATTGGGCAATATGTCAACCACCGATGCCTTACACTGATTTTTGATAGGTCGACGAAGTACAAAACTTTCATTGCGTTAGATTCGGCAACAGGCTATATTCTCGAGATGGACGCGGAGGACCCGCACATCTTCATGACGCGCACACTAACCTACCATTCTGTCCAACACGCGAAAAATCACCTGGCAAACGCAATGACAAGCTCGTCGTAACATTATGCGATAAACAGCGTTATACATTATCGTAACCTGCAGCAGTGTACTCGTCACAGTCTCCGTATCACATATTCACCATATATTGCAATTCGCAATCTCCATGACTACGCAATTATATAGAACTAAACACAAAATTTAGAACTTTGGCTAAAAATGATTTTGAAAAAAATTTATACAAACATATGAATAACGCTGTATTATAAAACCATGGAGAACGTACGCGATCGCGTCGACATGAAGTTATTAACACAATGGGAAGGCAGACACGGTGCTGAGGCAATGATCGCGAAATCAAATTTCCACAGCCGTAGTGTCTTTTCGGAGAATCTGGTCGAGATAGAACTGTGTTGGATAGAAACTCGAAGTGAAATTTGATAAACCAATATACGTGGGTATATGCATCCTCGACATATCCAAGATGTGTTTGTATGAATTTCACCACAAGTACATGGCACCACTGTTTCGCGAAAAGTACAAAATTATGTATACCGATACTGATAGCCTCATACCATATTGGTAGAATGTGATGATGTCTACGATGTCATGAAATGCGATATAAACAAATTTGACACGAGCGATTACTCGAGCGACAACGCGTACGGCATTCCGTTCGCAAATAAAAAAGTTCCTGGCCTTATGAAAAATGAGAACAACGGTGCCATCATGACCGAATTCGTTGGACTTAGAGCGAAAATATATGCCTTGCGTGTAGAAGGAAAGAAAGATACAAAGAAATCAAAAGGCGTCAAGAGCAACGTTGTAGCGAGGTCTATAACGTTCGAAGATTACACACGGTGCTTGAATGACGCAATCAAAATGACGCGTAAAAGTCATGCATAAGATCCAAATTGCAAAAGATATACATGATATCAGAAACAAAAATCGCTCTAAGTCCGCACGATGATAAGCAACGGTATATCGTGCCAGATTCCACCGACACGCTGCCATGGGGGCATTACCAATGTAAATAAAACACATTTATATTGTATAGTATGTTTAATATGAATATAATATGTATAATATGTACAATATGTATGCTATGTATATGTAAAATATAATATAATATGTATTAGGTGTTGGAATTAATTCGTAGCGAAAGAATGTTATTTATTTCACATGAGCATTAAAAAATACATTAATGAAAGTACTTCCCATCACTTGTAAAACGCTACGAATTAATTCCAACACCTAATATAATACAGTATGTATAATATATAAATACAATACGTATATGATATTTATAATATGTATAATATGTATTTATATTTTTATAATAAATATAAATTTTACAACACATTGTCTTTATGTATCCACAAATTGTGCGAATTGTTAAATCCCAACCATTTCACATAAACCTCATTCCCTTTTTCTTGCGCAGCACCTTTTCAACGAGATGTACATTGGGGTTTGCGACGGTATGCAATTTATATTCGTAGAATCCTCCAACAATAGATTTTCCGTGAGAATCTTCCAAAAGATACGTCACTGGACTTAGTTTGTTGCATTTTGATAATTTTAAATAATTTCACCCAGCAATTTTTGATAATTTTACCTCCGTGCTCCATTCGGCGTGTAACCATTATCAAAGATTGTCTTGAATTTGCTTACCGAATCACCTACTTTGTATCGCGCGAGTGCTGCAATCTTTACGCGATTGTAAACCGTTAAGAGTCTGTCGGCGATCGCAGGAGTAACATCGACGGGACGCATACCAATAGTTCGATGCTTGCGCGTGTTGTAATTTGATACGAGACGCGGCAGGATGTCAATCCATTTGTAATTTCCATTGTGCGTAACTTATTCCCACATGTCGTTCTTCTTGAACCGTTCGACGATCGAGGCCTTCATTACGGAATAATGGTTGATACTGTGCTTCTTCAAGAGTTTTTGCACATCCGAGTTGTAAAATTCCTTTTCTTTGTCAGTATGCAAATTTTTCAGACATGTTCCATCGTCTGGAATTATCTTTGCGATCGCCTTCATCACCTCGTTCCCGTTCTTGGCTTTGAGCGGCCCATGCGTGCTTACTCAGCACTTACTCATAACAGAATGTAGTGGTAACCCCTGTTGAATCGCATATAAGGACACATTTCGATCACATCCGCCTGCCACAGGTCCTCGTATCCGTGTACTATGAAGTGTCTTCGCGGAAAATTTGTTCTCGCCGGAGCGTGCAATTCATTAACCAGCAGACGTTTCTCAGACATTGTGAATAATTATTCAGCACGATGCACTTGAATCATCTTTTCAAGTTCGTTTAGCATAGCCTGTACATTATTTTGTAAGGCTGCAATCTTTCTCCCGATTTCATTCAGACAATCTTTCAAATCTTAAACACTCTGCTGCACGTATTGTTTATTTACTGCGTCAGCATTATCCATGGGTAGCACTACTCGTCGAATCTTGCGCGATCGTGTGTAGGCTGCGACTATGCAAAGAGCGTTATCACGCATATAATTTCTAAGCAATCCACGCCACTGATAGTGCGATTCGCTTCCTTCTCCTTCAAGCGATAGTCCAAACTTGTTGATCGGCATTACGATGTCAACTGAATGACGTGTATAGAACGAAGTTAATTTATAATCACCGGCTCCATTCTTCGATAATCGATAGAATCTCATTGTCATGACCATTGTGACCCGCCTGGCGCGAGGCCTCGAGCAATCGCAGACGTTCCACAACATTTCGTTGAGATCGTCCTAATGGATATAGTTGATCTTGTTATCGTTTAGCGTCATCGTACGCGGTAAATCCACTCTTTTATTTATTCTTGTTCCAACCTTTTATCCGATACCAATGGCGCTATTATATTCTTATACTTGTATCCCTTACTTGATTATTCGGGCTATGACCGCGCCGGTGAGCATTTGTCGTCAGCAGAATGCTCCTGTAGGTCTGTACGTCATCATCCGTACAAATACTTTCGTTGGGAAATTTCATGAAAATTAACTCAAACCCGATGTTCAATCGTATCTTTTCCCATTTATAATTAAATCGTCGTTTTTGTGCAAGGTGATAAGTTTGTCACCAAGCATCATTCCTTCGTCGCTGAAATATACTCCATACACAACGTCTATGTTAACAGCTTTCTTACCGCTCAGGACCACTTTCAAATATTTTTGTCCCGACAGATCATAGTTTACATGCAGCTTTTCTTGCCCCTCGGATGTTTGAAACAGGTGTCGAATAGATGTTACGAGCGGTTTGTCGGAAATCTCAAAAATTTCTTTGACGATGGGAGCTGGTCACACGATAAATCGCGCGGTTGTATTATTTCAGACACTTCGTTCAGTGGATGGTATGGTTTTCGAGTGACTCAATATTGATTTCACAGGTGTGGAAACCTGTGTAGGATTGTTATACAAAGATCGTTTTCTCGATCGTTTTCTTTTGGGTTTTGGTTCTTCTTCCGAAAAAAATGTTTCAGTCATAATAGGATCCTTGGAGAATTCAACAGTGTTTTCAACAAACTGTTTCAGCGAGTCGATAATAGGTTTGAAATGTCTCTCCAATGCGATATCCTCCTCCATTTTATTAGTCTTCAACGCGCTTTTTGCGAATCGAATCGTTCGTTTTTTTCAATCTCCTTAACTATCTTTTCACGATCTTTGCTGTCGTCCATATCAATGTGTCAAGGTCAACTGATCACATTACGGTATTGCAAAGTCATTAAATCCTTTTCTGTATCGCCCATCGGTAAGCGCACTGTCCTTGTCAATCACTAGAAATTCATACTTTTGCCAACATTTACGATATAAATCGCAGAAATCCTCATAGGACATATCGGTATTCACGTAATCGTTGTACACTTGTTTCAGATTGGTACCATCCTGTTTGAACAGGATCAACAGATTTGCATTGTCGCGTATGAAATGTTTTGGTATTTTTGCGTACTCTGACAAAGATAGAAGCAGTCGCGTGTCTCATTGCAAAGTACTCTCTTATCGCATCCTGTTTGTCGCATGCACGTCATCAAAGATAAAGATGAAATTCGGAAGCGTCTCACTCGCTGGAATGACGTTGCTGTTATTGGATAAAATAACCGAATTCCTCGATCGATGCTAACAAATTCGCCAGATATCGATATTTCGGTTGCAGCAATTTCGAATACACACGTTCTCGAATCGTACGCCGTGCGGACTTTCCAATAGGCTTATCAACACGTTAGTCTTGCATCATTTTAATTAAAATGATAAAATTATATTCGTGACGTTTTCCGTCCGTCACAAGGGTCGCATGGCCTGACCGAACAGTGCAGTATAGTGTCCTGAGTCCTCTCACATTTTGGGGGCGGACGCACCTGCACTTTTTCCCCGCGACGTCGTTTGTGTACCTTACGCGTTCCGCGCTGTCGTTTTCGTTTTCCCGTTTCTGTGTATTTTCGTACCGAGGGTTACAGAGGCCGGCAACTCCCGCGACCTTGGCAGACTGACGCCACCTCACCAGAGAGAAGAGGAGGAAGAACGACCAGGATTGGGAGTCAAGAGACGACCGCTGCTGACAAACCCGCTGGGGATGCACGATACCTGACCCCGGATTGCATGCAGGTGATATCCTTCCTTCATTATTACGCCCTTTTGGTTATCGCAAGGCATTTCTTACCGCACCCTTTTCCAGGCGCAAAGCGGATCGAGAGTTGGTACGGCATGACGGGAAAGGCCACTCTACGCCCCAAGGATGACGAGAGCCCCGGATAGGCACCTCGAGGCCACGAGGCGGCCTGAAAAAGACTCCCGCGATCTCTCGAATTTCGCGCGCCAGAACATGCGACACGGGCATGACGCGGTTCCCGCGATTAGCGGAGCCGCGGAGCCACGCGCCAATCAGGCGCGATAAAGCCCCCTCGCGGAGATAACGAGTCCTGCGTGCGCCCAGGAGGATTAGAGCCCGGCACTTGAGCTGTGGCCAGCTTGGCGAAAGCACGCGAGAGGACGCAGCGAATCGAGAACCTTCCAAGGTCGACTAGGACGAGCACCTGCGAGAGAATCACGGTGAGATAAGCGTCACCCCTGTAAAGTCGCCGGTTGCCGCTTCCGGGAGGCGTAGCTTTATCGGATTTCTATCGGGCATATAATAGTGATGCACGTGGCATTACCGTGCATCGGAGTTTCGCGGGATTCGAGTACGCGTGTCGCCTCCCGGAACGGCCCTTATCGTCGGGATAATTCTAATGCGTCCGCCAAGGCCACAGCCTCGTCACTCGTTGTCGGTTTCTTTTTATCGCGAATCATATGTTGCGTCGAAGTTCCGTGTCGTAGTATTGTCGTGTATCGTGTCGTCTCGAGCGTCTGTAGCGTAAGATTTGCATGTCTATTCGGTCCTCTGTGTCATAGCCATTAACGACAATTTATAATAGCAATTGATAATTGTGCGTATTCTGTCGTATCGAGACTGCGTAGCGTCGAGTTTGCACGTATTGGAGCCTTCTCTGCATCTCAACTGAACGATGTGAGGCCCCGCGAGCGCGCACGAGGTCACGCCGTATCCACGCTACCATCGTTGCCGAATTCCTTAGTATTTGCGAAGTGATGAGGTATTGTTCGCATAATTCGCGAGAGCATCTCTATGTGGCGTGAGCTCGTGTCGCGAGAATCTAATGAAGTTGATACGTCCAGCGTAAAGTCTCGAGGCTTGCGCGAGCCGTTATCGTGCTCAAGTAGAACTTATCGTGTTGATTGTATCGCCAGATGTAAATGCAAGTCGAAGACTTATCTAATATACACTTGTTAGTTTGTTATTGTTAATTCGTGTGTACTTTATTCTCGCCTCTATTCGCTCCTCCAAACGATCTGCTATCCTCGACCGCGAACCGCCCCCTCTGCCATTTCCAAGGCTGAGCTATCGGTTGAGAGTCGACATTCGCAGCTCATTAAAAATGGCATAGAGAAAATATCGCGTAATTTCTAGAAAGAATAGCACTCTCGCTCGTGCCTGGCGCTCAACTATTGTTCTGTGATTATGTGCCGAAGAGCGGCCGCGTGAAGACGCATTTCTGTCACGTTTCGTTTAACGCGACCCGTCATCCGATCGCCTACGAAAATCTTACCTGTGAATGTGCGATGAAGTTGCGCCACGCTCGTGAGTGCGGTTGCATCGCTTATAGAAGAAAATAGTTATTGCGATATAGAATCCTCGTTACTTAAAACTTTAAGACTTCATATGGAAAACACGGAATTTCCAGATTCACGTATTTCCTGACTTCAATCTTCGCAAGTCTGTTATAGAAACTTCTCGATGTAAATTTATAACAATTATTGAATAGTTTCTGATAGGCAAGAATTATTATGACAAAATGTTTTAGAGAATTTAGTATTTGATTTTTTTAAGGAAATAAAAATTATTTTGCAAGAAAAATATTCTTTAATAATGTAAGGTACGATCTCCGCACATTTAAGCTAGAGACGCTTCTGAGCCACAGCGTCACATGAGCGCTTGGCGGCTCGGCCGGTAGTAGGGGTAGCGCGCCGGAATCGACCCGAAATGTGCAAATCTTTGCACTGGTTTAATTTGTTATAATCGTTATAATTATTATGATCATCATAACTATGAAGTGCTTATATGGCTATTGCAAGGATGTTTTGAATGATAGATATATTATATTATATACAGAGCTATCCAAAGTGCTTTTGGCTTGAAACCGAGAGAAATGTGCAGTTATCATTCTACTAAGGATTAGGAACGGTAATGGGTGTGAAATAAGAATTTCATTGCTGTTTTGTCATAGCATGCGACTTTCGGTCTCAGGAACGACACTTGTTTAAAATCGCTAAAAGTTTTTGACTTGTATCTTTCACTATGTTTAAAATTATTCTATTATTCATATTTTTATTAAATATATTATAAATATATTGTAAATAATAGTATCTTACAATATTAGTAACAGAATACTTGTAAACACAGTGAAAGACACAGGTTAATAATTTTTAACGAGCCTAGTGTCGTCCATGAGACCGAGCGCTACGACAAAACAGCAATGAAGTGAGTAACGGTAATGAGCGTGAATACATTTCAGTTTCAAACCAAAAAATACCTATCTTGGACAGTTATATCATTACATATATATTATGTTCATTACTTAACTATATAAAATAATTTTTTTAATCAATATTTGTATAATAGTAATTTTCTTTTTATATATAAAGTTTTATATTTTTTCTATATTTTATTAGTGCAATACTTCTCGATATTTTAAGTAAAAGTATATGGC